GATACGTTTGAGAAAATTTTAATAATAAATTCTATTGGTGGTAAGTACATTTATTATTGTTTCTGAATAATTTACCTTTAGATAACTAATTTAAATAACCTTAGTAGATTATTTAAAAAAAAATAGTTGTGGCCAACGATCGAATTTTGTGCCAAGTTAAATGATGTTTTTTTGTCTTAATTGTGACATACCTACTTTTTCATTTTTGTTAGTTATCTGACTTAGTCATTTAATATCCAAATCAGTGTAAAGGTGATAAATATCCCCGGTATGAACAATTCAACCACCGGATATTTTGGAACAGGTTAATGCAACAATTACCCCAAAAATCTAAAGAAAAATACGAAAAACAGTATTTACATTTCAAGCAATGTGCCGAAGAAAATTATTTAAAAATGACTTGTTATTTGAGGGAGGCGGAAAAATCATATGTATTACTTGGGAGTAAAGTGCCTTTTCCTCCCTTGGATGTTTACTGCCCTCCGCTTCGCGTCTGGCAGTAAACTTCATCCTGCGGGAGGAAAAGTGGCACTTTCCTCCCTAGTAATACAAATAGCTATATTCACATTTATCACACGATACTTACAGGTATTATTTGAATATAATTTTAAGGGTAGAGGAAAATTTTTGACTTTTTACGAATAATTCATTATTTTTGGTAGTTATCGCAGCCCTGAGATGACTATAAAGAATTATTGGAATTATCATTAATTTTTCTTGGAGAAATGCCTCGAGATCAAGTTTCCTTTAAACGTCCTGGAGCAATTCATCACGCAACATGGATGGCAAAGGCAATTTATTGCCTAAAAATATTTATTTTTAGAGATGAATTTGTCCTTTCTAAGAAAGAATTGGATGGTTTTCGACAACTTTGTATTTTTATAGTTATAGTGTATGTAAAAGCTTGGTTTTCATCAACTTCTGCGACTTCTGCGGCAAATCACGACTTTGAGTTCATGAAAAATTTAATTAATCCTTTGATATCCTCGGATGCATGTGAAAAAATGACTTTACATTTATGGTACTTATGTGATGAACTTGCCATTTTATCACTATTTTGATGGTACCGTACCATTAAACATAGAGAAGAATATTGTCGAAGCTGTTAAGACTCGCGAAGGTACACATTCTGAAGCAAGAAGATTTATAATTGATAAAAAAAATTTGGATTTAATTCTGCAAAAAAACATAAGTGACTTTGTTTCTAAGAGGTCAATGAAACTGTTTAAGCTCTTTGATCTGCCATATGATTTTCTTGATGAAAATATTGATTTATGGTCTACTGATGACAGTTATAATGAAAATAAAGAATTTTTCGCACAATTAAAAGTTGTTAATGATATGGCAGAGCGAGGTGTCGCATTAGTAAGTGAATATAACCACTGTTTAACAAAAAACGAAGAGCAATTTCAATTTTTATTGCAAGTTGTCAAAAGAGCATCGAAAAAATTACCCAATTTGCAACAAAAACTTGTTTGAAAATTGAAATAAAATACTTATTTATAACTAATTGGACATTCTTTTTCTCTGATACTTAAACATATCATAATATATGTATAATGAAAACTTTGCTTTTTTTATTAATAAATATTTAACTAAGCGATAAATCATGTCCAGTTTATTTTTTAAATGGAGACAAATATACTTAAACATAAATAAAAACTTGAAAAATATTTTGAAGTTTCTCAGTTGATAACAACTAAAATTTGTGTAAATTTTCTCAAAAATTATAAATTGAATTGAAATTTTTTGAATATCTCATCAAAAACTTTTAAAATCCGTACACATGAAAGTTTGATGATGAATATCTTTTGAACGGTTAATTTCATCGCCAAAACATAAGAAACCATTTTTATAGAGCAGTTCATTTCCAACAAAAATTTGTATTGCGCATTTTGTAAAAGTCATTTATTGTCGAGTTATAAAATTCATAAACAAAAATTAAATTTGTCCTAAAATAATCAAAATTAAATCCTTAATATCTTTCAAATGGTGAGGTTTACGGAAAAATATAAGATACCTTTTTTGTAGAGCATTAAATTTCCTAAAAAATTCTCTCGGAACATTTTTCTGTTCAATCGATAAATGATGAGGCATGAATTTTTTTCTATTGGACTAGGAAAAAAATACAAAACTGCGATGCGGAGGATCTTCCTATTAAAATTAAGAGCTCATGCTTGATGAGAATTTTTTTAAGGTGTCTAGCAACTCATTTTTCCGTGTCACTTGTAAAAAAAACATAATCGATTTTTTTGACCCACCCTAGTATAAATATTTGGATATTATGAGTGATTTTTAATTCTATAAATAGAACGTAATTTGCTTCTAAATCACTAATGAACTATATCATGTAGTAACAAACTTAACAAAAATATCAAATTATTTATGTTTTTTTAATTTACTAAAAAACGTCTCAAAAAAAAAATTAAATTTTTAGTATTGGAGTTTATATCGCTATGCTAAAACAATACTAGAACAACTTAAATAATGTGGATTTTGACAATATGTCTTTCTGGTGCTATATTCAAGTATAAAAACATTCATTTATTTGAGCACAGTTGCAATATACATTTTATTTAGTTTTTAAGTTACAATACTTAGTAGGACATCCTAAAATATCTTTTTCCGTGTGATGTTGGTGAAATAGGATATTTTAAGATGTCCTACTGTTTTCTCTAATTATCTAAAAAGTTTAGAACAATACAAAAACGAGATATACCTTTAATTAAACATACAATTAGTCAATTCAATTATACGATAATTTAAAGCAGAAATTCAGAAAATTTCTAAAAATGTGTTTAAATGTGTTTTTACTAGAACAAGGACAATTTACAAAATAATTATTAAAAAAAAGTCAGCACATTGAGAGCTACCTAAGAAGAAAGTTTAACAAGACTCTTACCAGACCCAAAATAACAAAATATTATCAACCAATTGATGGTTCTCTTGGTTTCCATAATAAAAAACTGTTCGAAATTACTAAAAGAAAAGTGGCAGATGCAACCGAAGAAGGCAAAAAGTCTTCTGCAGAACAAAAACAAGACTATTTAAAGTTTTACCATTAATAATTTTTGATAACGTTTTAAGATTATGAAGTTCTATTGGAAGATATTGGGATCAGAAGCACTTCATTAAATTTATTTAAAACGTATTTAAATGAAAGAATGCAAACCGTAAAGATAGACAATAGTTACAGTGATTTTATGACTATTAAATATGGTGTGCCCCAAGGCACTATATTAGGTCCACTCCTATTTAATTTCTACATATTTTCGATTAAGTCTAAGGGTGAAATTCTGGGGTTCGCAGATGATACGGCGGTCTTCTATACTGCTGACACATGGGAGCAACTGAAAAATATGGTTGAAAATGATTTTCCTGCAATACAAAATTGGTTAAACTATAAACTCCTAACAATAAACGTTGAAAAACCATTTTATATCCCTTTCTTCTGTAACAAATCCACAGCTCCCTTCTTCAATCAACTAAATATTAATACCAGTAACAATCAATATATAATAAATTCAGTAAATAATATGAAATATCTGGGTATATATTTGGACCATATGAGATGGGATGTACATATTTTTTATACTTGCAAAACACTAAGATGTATTCTCTATAAGTTTAAATATTTAACATCATTATGCACTGGTTGAGAGTCACCTCAGATACGGCCTTCTTATTTGGGGTAAAACTCACCTTCATCCATTAGAGATTTTACAGAAAAGATTTCTAAAATTAATATGGCCTGAAGATGTCTCTGTAAGGCCAAAACTAGTCGCTCCTGCTTTTATTTATAGAAAACATTGATTTTAAGGTTTTATTCATTAATTGAAAAAATTAGAGCTTTACAGATTATTTTGATTCATTTCCTGCATCAGACACATAAGATGGTATACATTATAAAAATAGTAAAATTGGTGAATTTTTGTTTGTTTTACAATTAAAAAGTTTGGACAATGTGTGTTCTTATAGAGAAATGATACGCCACTGAACAATAGGGGATGTTTACTTTCCCCTTGTGTCAGTTTCCTCAGTTCCTCTACATATGTTGCGAACACAACAATCGCCTACAAACTCTTTTCACACTCCCTCTAGTACTAATTGCTCGGAGGTTGCGTTTATGTGTTGACATGTCAGGTACCTACTAGAAATCATTATTAATGCTATTAACATTGTTTTATGTGATGATTCTATGCACAAATCACATAATTAACAATGCAATGGCTTATCATGGCCAATCATGTGGATGACAACGCAATAATAGGATCGATGATGGCCCATTACCCAATGGCCCATCATGGCCGATCGCGTATAGGAGCTATTAGATTGTAGGCTAATTCCAGCTGATATAAAATAAAAATACATGTTCTACTAAAAAATACATTTATTTGTCACCGTATTCATAAAAAATATACAAAAAATATATAAAACATATAACATATACTTATATTGCACGATATTTACAACATGAAACGGGTTCTGATAAAACTGCGAAATTCTCCAAAAATAATACGGCGAACAATTAATAGTCTTTACACAAGAATTTCGCAGCTCCATCTAGAAAACGCTCCATAAAAGACCGATTTGCCTTACAGACAAATCGAGAGAGCGCCAACATTTGATCCAAAAATTCCAACTCGAAAAATAAATGAGCAGAATTTTTGGAACGAAAGGTAGACGTACCAGCATCACCATTTTTGGGAGGTTAAATCCACAGCTCACTTCGAACAAAACATTCTACTCGCTTTCCATCGCTTTGTATCGTCTATCGACCGCTTGGGGGGTGGGAGTTGACTAACGACAGTCGATGCGCAGCTCGCTTATCGCATCACGTGATGTAATCGCAATGCAACACCGAGATGTCAACGGTTAGTAAGCGATCAACTACGCTGCGATCAAAGTCAACGTTTTGAGTAACTTGAATGGTTGGAAATGAACTGTGGTGCAACGGGCGAAACGAACCGCCGTAGTTGCATAGGTATTTTAGTAGGAGTTTAGTATGGACCGGATTTGCCTGGTGGGCCGTAGCTGGAGGATACTCCTCCGCCACCACCACCATGACCACCTCCGATTCCACCTCCGATTCCGCCTCCGATTCCGCCTCCGATTCCACCTCCGATGCCACCGCCAATGCCGCTTCCGCCTCCGATACCACCTCCGATACCGTCTCCTGAAAAGAACAATTAAACTTTTAGAAATATACAATGATTCTACTAAATAAAGGTTTTATTTTTGTAATTATCTAATATTTTAACGTGGAAATTGACGAAAGAAGGAAGAGTATGCGATAAAAAAGTAATGGAAATGGGGAAAAGACGAAAACGGAAGATCAAGAAAAGTATGGATGGATAGATCGAAATAAGTACGAAGTGGAGAAGAAAGGGATAAAGGAAAAAAAAGGAATAAAAAGAAAGTATAATTTTAAATTAAAATGCTAGAAAATAATTGAAAATAAATAGATAGAAGGTATCTAATATTTTAGACAAAAGAAGTGACATTTTACAGATACTGATAATTAAATTTTGGATTTTGTCAAAAGAAGTATGGCAATAAATAATCAGCTGGCAACAAATTATAGTTCGCTGCAGTTGTAGTGGGGAAGATGTTTTTTTTGCATGCCAGTTTTCATTAAGTCGTTGAATTTAAAAACCCTCTATCCAGTCACAATTATTTTTGTATCTAATGAAATTGTGTACTATCAACCATTGGATTTCAAAACTAACGGAGATCTAGCTTAACAAAAAGAAATAAGTAGTAGAACAAAGGGAGAACTGGATCAATGAGAGGTGGCAATGAGAATTCTGGGTCATGCAGTCTAGGATTTGCCATAGCAATGGGAGTTTTCAATCAAGGTACTGTGTTGAGAGTTCTAGATCATAAAATAGCAATGAGAGATCTCGGTCATGGAACTGTATTGAGACTTTTGGGCCATGCAGTCCAGGCTATGTAATAGCAATTAGTGTTCTCGGCCAAGGAACCGTATGAGGAGTTTCAATATGATAGAGCAGTGACAGGAACGAATTGGAATTAAAATGCATAAGGTCAATACAGGTGGAAACAAATTAGAGAGGTTTAGAAGAAATATATTGACAATGATAATTTTAAGCCGTAGAAACTATCGCTTACTTTACTCTACAGCTTTTTGTTATATTGTTTTTATTATATTATTTTTAAGTTCATAATTTGATATTGTTTCTTTGCAGAAGGTGCTATAAAAAGTAACAAAAGCAAAGAGAAGAAGGTTGCAGAACAGGAAATTGTGAGATGTTTAAAAAGAGCAGATGATCGCCTAAAAACTTTTAAAAAAGATGAAAAAATAATTTAAATTAATCTTACGTCCCATCAGTACGTACATAGTACGTCTTATGTACGTATGTGTGTTTGCTGAGAAGAGATGGAAGGAGAAACAAATATATTGGAAGTAAGAAGAGAAATCAATATACCGTTTTGGGATATAAATTACTAAGTCCAATCAAACTAGAAAGCCTAAAGTATGCCGATGATATAATTCTAATAGCCGGGCACTTAAAATAAAGTGTCTAGTATTAGTTAAAAAGTAGATAAAAGAAATAAGGGACATATTGAAATTATAGTTTTTGACCATTTTCTGAACAGTGGTACCGAGGTAATTAACGAAACGTTCTTGGAGCAAAATATTGTTTAGTTTTGTTAAAATGGTGTGCTCCATATTGTCAATTTTGTCAGAATTTAAGAGTTAGAAGAAAAACAGAACCATGACCACACACTTTTAAATTTTAAAATTAAATTTGGAATTTGGGCTGAAAAAGTTACAGACATACTGTCTAATATTCTACACTGTCATTGACAGGCAGATGAAAAATTCAATAGAAGAAAACACACTAGACATGGAAGGAAACAAATATATTTGGAATAAGAAAAGAAACCAGTAAACTGTTTTGGGGTATAAATAACTAAGGCAAATCAAACTAGAAAGCCTAAAGTATGGCCTGGCATTTAAAATAAAGTGCTAGTATTAGTTAAAGAGTGAATTACAGAAATAAGCGAAATATTTAAAATATAGTTTTTGACTATTTTCTGAACAGAGTTGCTGACGTAATCAATGAAATGTTCTTGAAGCAAAATATTGTTTAGTTTAATTGAAATGGTAGTATTAAACTAACGTGTTTTTCCTACTGTCAATTTTGTTAGAATTGTAGAGTTCGAAGAAGAATAGAACCATGAACACGCACTTTTTTTCTCTATATAATTATCTTAGTAATAAAAAATATTTACCATCCAAATATTTTGTTTATTTACAAAAATACTAATTTAGCAGGATTAAAAACGAATTGGACAGTAGAAGAACCGATAATTGGAACAATCTCTTGGGGCTGAGACAGGCCAAGATACTTCTGGGTGAATATAACCAGAAAAGATCGGAAGCCTGCATCTGCCTGAGCAAGCACAGGCTACGTACTGTAACAGGCATCCTTACCGGGCATTGCCGACTAAAAGGACACCTAAGTAAACTGAAAGTAGTAGAGGATAATGAGTGCAGATTCTGTGAGGAGGGGGACGAAACCTCCATTCACATCCTAACTGAATGTGTATCACTTCAGAATCCAAGGGCACTATATCTAGGAGGATATCAAATAGAAGAGGGAGATTTACCTAACTTGAAGCCACTCCAAATCCTATATTTCCTTGAGAAGGTAGGATTGGAAGGGTCTTTATAGACATTGAAACATTTCCTTAGTGCATTGGCTACAGAAGGGGGTACAATAGATCTTTTAGGTCGCATTTCAAACATAACATAATTTAGCAGGAAAAAATATTTATTTCTTTCCCCTCATTATAACTATAAACTTGTAATAATTATAAGATCATTAATAAATATAGGAACTTACCGCCTCCAATGCCACCTCCGATTCCGCCTCCGAATCCACCGCCACCGCCGCCTCCAAATCCTCCGCCGCTTCCTCCTCCAATACCACCACCGAAACCACCGCCGCCTCCAGCTGTTTTCTGTAAATAAAACAAAAAAAATATTTTTATAGTTTCTTTACATAGAATTGTTTTGGGAACAAATACTGATAAAATTCCCAAACATTAACAATGTGGGCAAAAAAAATGTTTCATCTCAATCATCAACGTAATATAAATAAATAATTAAAACAATCAAAATTACGAAATAATCCGACATTTTATCAATTACATAAATTCATCAGCGCACGCCGCTGCATTCCAATGACGAGAATTTCCCATAAATATATAACCAAAGATGACTAGATGACTCGTTGACCCGTAAAGAGTTGTTCACATTCTACGCGACGGGAGATCGCTACTTTCATTTGTTCCATGACCTCTGGCTTCCGCGTCGAAATCCATTGCGGGAATTCTCGAAGAAGAAGAAGAAAGGTAAGAAATGCCGGCAAAACGGTATTTCACGTACGAAAGTCAATTACAATTATTGTGCATAAATGTTACTTTCTCTGAGGATACATAAAGTAGTAAATGATTTGAATTGGTAATACTATAGTGCGGGAATTATTGATCGATAAATATTCGTGTAGGATTAATAAAAATGCTTGTTATGCGATAGATGATGACTTCGTGCACTTTCACTCGGAGTTCAGAGGTGCGATTTGGGATTTGATGTGTTTAGAGTTAGTTATATTGTGCCCAGATTGTAGAGCTTCTAAAAAGAAATTCAACTATGCAAACTACTTCTTCCTAGCTTAAACGATAGTCAAGTTATTAAAAAAAACACTTATGTTAAAATTCTCACAAATTTGATCTAAAAATCCTATTTTCTGACCTTACTAACAACTCAGCGGTGACTTTTTAGAGGCATTTAATGATGCAAACCACTTCTTCTTAGTTTAAACGATAGTTAAGTTATTTAACAAAAACACTTATTTTTTTCTGTTAAAATACCTCAAAATTTGATCTGAAAATCCTATTTTCTGGCCTTACGGACAACATTTTTGCCTTATTATCTTAGAAATCTGATAAGTTGTAGCAGTAAAATTTAGAACTAGGACTAACATTATTTTCAACTTTATTTATTTATATATACCACAAATATCTTATATGCGTGATGTATGTGATCTGGTATAACAAGATATTTAATTAAAATGGCCATATTTAGTGACTGACATCTTAATTATCAGTGACATTGTTTTATAATGTACAACTGGTCACTATAAGATCTACACACTCACCTACTGATAAAATATGAGCCTCCATCAGTAAAGTGCAGTACACCTTCAGAACTGACACAATGGAATATAAATTTTCCCACTTAAAGCGTACTTTCACTGTACTATAAGTGAAGATTCTGCTCAGACCAAATGAAAGTGTTTATTGAAAATACTGTCACACATTTGGTATATCTAGGGTTTCGGCTAATATCCAGTAATTGACTGGTTGTGGAAACTTTTAATCATGAAACAAGTTTCTAACAATTCTAACTATTCTCGAATGGTTGTATTATTTATCGGTAAATTATTTCATTAACACAACTATAAATACTTTACAGATTTTTATATCTGCAGGTTTTCTTAAATTATTTTTATTTTGTTGAAAAAAAAAGCTTCTTTTTAAACAAGAACCTTTTATGAAGGTTTTTCCGTAAACTTGTATTTGCCAAGAAGCTCTTAAGTTATCCTGACAACACTGCAGCAAACAAATACTTGACTATGACTAGACAGAATCTGCGCCTAGTCACAGGCATTGTGACTGGTCATTTCCAAGTACGAAAGCATCTACATATCATGGGGCTGTCAGAATCTGCACTCTGCAGAGGGTGCGAACAAGAATATGAGACCATCGAGCATATCCTTTACGATTGCTCAACGCTCTCATTTATTAGAAGATTTATGTTCGGCGAGTATCGGCTAACACCGGCCGATATAAGAGAAGCAACTCTTGGCGACGTTATCAACTACAGTCTGTTTGCTATACTATTAACAAAATTATGCAAATTAGTCATTGACAACCAGTTCCAATAAGCCTCTTCCCAAGAAATTAGGTAAAATTGCCCAAATGGTCAGATTTAAATTTAAATAACATTAGGGTAGGTACTAAATTTGTTACAAATATTGCAGTTGAATTAATTCTTTGAAAGTATTGACATGTAAGTATTGTAAATTTAGTGGAAATTTTAAAAATGCCTAGACGTTTGTTAGATGTAGATAGTCTAATTTGTAGTGTACATAAGTATTTTACGGATGAAAAAGAAAATGGCGGTCCTTTAAAATCGGTAATGTCTGTACAACAACGCGTATGCGATGCTCTAGGAATTAGTAAAACCAAATTAAGGGGAGTATTACAAAATCGTAATAGTGAACTGCCGAAAGAAGATCACCGCAAAACTCGCCCATCATTGAAATCGAAAGATATTCCAGATGGAAAGAAATTTGAAATTCGTGATAACATTTATCGAATGAGGGCCAACAAGGAACATGTGACCTTAAATACAATTCTCTCGGAATTAATAGATAGAAAATTTGACGACATTGGCAGAACAAGTCTATGGCAAGTGATAACGTAAAGTCTATCAAACATACCGATGGAGAAGGGAAGCGACACATAATTTTACATGCATGAGGAAAATCGGGTTTTATAGATGGTGCTGATTTAATATTTTCATCTAAATTAAAATCCAGTAACTATCACGATAATATGAACACAGAAATGTTTGCAAAATGGTTGCATGAAAAACTTCTCCCAGGTTTAAGTGAGCCCAGCGTAATTATTTTAGACAATGTACCTTACCATTCTGAAATATTAAACAAAAGTCCAACGAATTTTTGGACTGTTGATAAAATTAAAGAATGGTTCACAAAGGAACATATACCATTTCCTCAATATATATTAAAATCAGAATTATTACGCTTGGCAAATATACACGCAAAACCAAAAACCTTTGTTGTGGATCAGATTATTGAAAGTTACAGTCATCAAGTTTTACGTCTGCCACCGTATCATTGCTAGTTTAATCCCATTGAATATATATGGGGAATAGCAAAACAATATTATGACAACCATATTGGGCCTAATGGTTATAGTGACGACGCAGTTCGGGAAACTCGGCGAAAAGCACTTTTAATTGCAACTCCAAAAGTGTGGCGGAACTGTATATCCAAATGCGAGAAACTAATAGAAGATTGGTGGACTCGTGAATATAAAATAAACAAAATAAGTCCAATCATAATAACAATTAATGGTGATGACAGTGATTATGATGATGACGATTATGATATTTTGGATGTAAATGTCTGATTTTTATTTTTGTTGGCAAGTTCAATTTTTTTAATTTTCATTTGAAATTCTCTACAGGGAACAAATTTTTATGTTAGAAAATATTTGATTTGAGCTAAATAACCCTCTTATTATACATAGACCATATTTTCTGTGTGAAGTGTAATATAACATTATTATTAGGTGCATAATAGCCACATTAGACTCCATTAATGAAGAAGTTTAATTCTGCTCTCAATTATACAAAAGATTCTCCAGTATTATTTAATTAAAAAGTTGTACATTATTTTTCATTTCATTTAACCAGTTGATATACAGGTCAAACTTTCGGGTACTTACCTGGAAATACTCATAAAATTTTTAATCCGAAACCCGCGTAAGTATAGCGAACATACTGTATATTAAATCTGTAGGGTGGCTCACGAGCTAGGAGGTGCATATCTTCTCAGGAGGATGCACAATGGGCCTAATGAGGCCTAAGTGCTGTGGGGTAACCCACTTTCCATACGATACAGATACAGATAGTATGTTTTTCCGTACTTAGTTTCTCTTACAAAACCTTTGGTACTCCTAGGTTTATATCTAGTTCCAAAGACCCTTCTAGGACTCAAAATAGTTTTAACTTAATTCCAAAGAGTATCTGCCAGTTGTGTTGCAATGATTTCCAATCGTGCTTAATAGGAAATACGGTTTGCTGGTGAAGATCACCATTATACATAAAGGTTTTGCTTTGTTCATGTGTTCAGGAGACAGTATTACATATCCTCATTTCTTAGACATAATATTCTGCAAGATCGTTTATCAGCAAGTATATTTTGCCCAATTACCAATTGTGCCTTATCTTACTCTGCCAAATGTTCAATTTCATAGCTTTTTCCTTTTCCTTTACATCAAATGCATACAGATAACGTTTTCCTCCAAATGAAAGTGTTTTTTTTTTCTAGGCTATGTAACACATTTCGTTTAATATATCAATTAATTTTAGTAACATAGTAGCTCAATGATCTTGTCAATATACATTAATAACACCTTTCGAAGAAGCACTAGTAGGCCAAGATAAAACCGGTTCAGTAATAATTAATAATACATCTGGAAGGCGGTGTATTTAGTAGCTCGTAAGTTTGTTTTTTATTAACTGAGAACAAGATTGGAATTAATAGACTCGGAATTAGATTAGTGATTTTAAATGGACAATTATCTCTGCGTGAGAAGGAAAAGTAAATAAAACTGAAGGTGTATTATTTTGTTTTGCTTTTGTAGAAATGTGGAAATAGTTCATGGTATGGAACTTTAGTAACATATTCTAGAATGGTATAGCTGAATTTAAAACTGTCTTGTAACTATTTAAATTTAAAATGTGCAAGGGGATGGCAACATTTGATTCTCTAACTAGTGACGCAACATTTAAAAAAAAACATCTGGTATTTAGCTATCTCTGTCACGAAAAACCTGATAGACAGTATGAATTGAAATTATGTCATATAAGTACACCAAAATGTCACTTCCAATCGACAAAGTGTCCAACATTTTTTTATGTTTTAAATTTAAAACGATGAACAATATCAAATTATCAGTAACTAAATTCCAATCGAATTTTAAAAAATAATGAAGAGTACCACTTTTTTATAGAAAAATGATTTACCTGGGTCTTGTATCTGATGAAGTATACTTCTGGTTTGCTGGGTTGTGTTGGTGCAGCAGTTGGAATGTTAATTTCTGGTGCTTCTTCTGGTTTCTTGACCAAGACGTAGACCAAGGTCTTTTCTTCGTTTTGAGGTTGGAGTGGAATTACTGGAGCAGTTGGCGCAGGTGCGCTTGGTGCCTGGAAAATGTCGAAAAATGTTTTTAGAATACGAAGTCTACCAAAAATTATTAATTTAACAGGTAATAAATTGATATTTTTATATAACATTCTTTATGGAAAAACTTTGGTTAGGTAATATTAGGCATAGAAAAATTAAGTTAACTAATAGAGATAGAAAAATAAAATTACCATGGATATGTTAAATGTAAGTAAGGAAATAAAAAACTTTTAAGAAGAACCTATAATAGAAAGAACTAATAACAGTTCAGTTAACAGAAATTAATCAACAATGTTTAGCTGCAATTGAAAGACAATTCTTAAAAAAAAGGAAGATAATGCAAAGGCATAAAGAAGAGGGACGTTGTTGTTTTAAAAAGATGTAAAAGTGCAAGAGACGAAAGAAAATTAAACGAGAAATACATGGTAGAAGCGAGGGAAGATAATAATATACCTTGATGAAGATGATCTTGTAGTGTTTTTGGGCTTGTCCAATTGAGATAGGTCTTTGAGGTCTGAATTCTTCAGGCTCTGGTGGGGGTACGTGTACGTAGATGTGTTTTTGGATGGTGGTACCACCGCCGAAACCACCTCCGAATCCACCGCCTCCACCGCCGCCGCCGCCGCCTCCGAAACCACCGCCGATTCCACCTCCAAAGCCTAGAAAAAAATGAAAACGTTATAAATGTTATTTGAATTATCATTATTTATAAGTTACAAAGAAAATGTATTTGCATATTTTAGCAGAAATAATCGTACCTCCTCCGCCACCGCCGCCTCCAAATCCACCTCCTCCTAGGCCACCGCCGCCGCCGAAACCGCCGCCGCCGCCTCCTCCGAAACCGCCACCGATTCCTGGAAAAAGAGAAAAATATAAGCTAAAGTAAGTATGGTTGTTGAGCGAAACCTTTAACCATTTCTGGTTCTCTTAAACTCATTTAATAGAGGCGTGGATGAAATACCGGATGTTAGTTACTGTAATTTTTGTTTAATCTTGACATTAAACAATTATTAAATTCTTAATTATCCAAGTTTCAGTTTTTCAATTTACAAAGGGGTCGTACAATTACATATCGATTGAAGCTTCCGCGGTACCATTTTTGTTATTTCTTCTATTGAGGTATTTAGAAACATTTAGTTCTTCTTTTAGTTCCTCTTTTCAGTTTTTCTACATTAATCAATTTTTAAAAACTCGATATACTTAAATATTTTAGGAAAATACCTGTAGTGATCTTAAACCTTCAGAGACACAGATAGAGCAGGCACTATCTCCATCTGCACAACCAGAGGATGTCCACAAAAAGAAGTTCTATCCTCACTAATGTGGAGCCTAACTATAGACGACCTCGGCATACCCTGTCAAGGTTATTCCGACGACAGTGATATTTTCTAGAGGCAGGTTTAGAAATATCCTGTGTGATTTAGTCCAACGAGGACTAGAACATACCAAAAGATGATGCTGTAAAGTGGGACTTAGTATAAACCCTACAAAAACAACACTAATAGCATTGTCAAGGAAAAGAAAACTTATCAAAATCGTTAAATTAGACGGGATAGATATAGAATAGAAAAATGAAGTCAAATATCTAGGCCTAACCCTGGACAACAAACTTCTCTGGAACACACATGAAAAGGAAGTAGTAAATAAGGGCACAAAAGCCCTAATGGTATACAAAAACATTGCAGGTAAATGATGGGGATGTAACCCAAACATACTGTGACGGATGTATACTGCAATAGTCAGACCAATCATCACTTACGAGGCTACAGCCTGGAGTAACAAAACTAGTTCAGCTACTACGAGAACTAATATCTCAAAAGTACAAAAACTAGCCTGTGTTTGCATTACTGGCTGAATGAGAACCTGCCCTACGGCCGCAATAAAGTTGATCTTAAATCTCATCCCTCTACATTTCATGATAGAGAATGTGGCAAACAGAATAATCAAGAACGGAGTAATCAGACGAAAGTCTACTTGTTTCAGGACTAAAGATACCTGGGACATGCCTCAGGAGGAAATGCTAAGAAAGTACAGTTTTTTGAGAGACTTCAAAACCACAGAGCTGAGCTGCAAGAAAGAATGGAGTAAGAATCCATCGCGCTTGCAACCGAAAGACATGCTATTCAGTGGTATAAGGACGGTTCCAAAACCATAGAAGGAACTGGAATAGGAGTGTATGGGCCAAGAACCAAGCACTCCGAAAGCTTGGGAAAATACCCAAGAAGTGTATCCAGAGAGAAACTATCATAGACAAGAGATTATCATTATGTTCGATAGTCAAGCAGCCATCAAAGCGCTGAGCTCTTATGTAATCAGCTCAAAAATGGTCTGGAGATTCCTAGAACAATTGAATGAGCTAGGCGAGAAAAATAGAGTTACTCTCACTTGGGTCCTGGGACATAACGGGGTACAGGGTAACGAGAATACAGATAGTTTTGCTAGGAAAGGGACACAAACACCCTTTACAGGTCCTGAGCCGTTCTGCGGTATCAGCAGTAACATAATATTAAGAGAGATTAAAAAAGAATTGGGCAGTAGAAGAACCGATAATTGGAACAATCTTTTGGGGCTGACACAGGCTAAGATACTTCTGTGAATATAACCAGAAAAGATCGGAACCCTGCATCTGCCTGAGCAAGAACAAGCTACGTATTGTAACAAGGATTTTTACCGGGCATTGCCGACTAAAAGTACACTTTAGTAAACTGAGAGTAGTAGAGGATAGTGAGTGCAGATTCTGTGAGGAGGAGGACAAAACCTCCATTTATATTCTAACTGAATGTGTAGCATTCAAGAATCCAAAGGCACTATATCTAGGAGGATATCAAATAGAACAGGGAAATTTAAATAATTTGAAGCCACTTTCTTGAGAAAATAGGATTGGAAGGGTCGTTATAAGCATTGAGACACTTCCTTGGTGCATTAGCAACAGAAGGGGACACAATAGATCTATTAGGTCGCAGAGTATTAACACCACATTCCCAACGTAACATAACATAACATAACATATGATAACTCTTTATGAGTTTTGACATCCGACAGCTTTGCACATGTCATGCCCTGGTCAACAGATGACATTACGTCAATCTTTTTGTGTTTTGTTTGAGATACTGATTTGTAAAAGGTGAGAACGTGAAAAAGTTAATTTGACAACAAATTTGTAAATAAAAATGATTTTTTTTAAATACTTAAAACACATTATTGTTACTCGGTAGTAATGATATACAAGTCGAAATGAAATATACTACCACAAATCCTTAAATTCCAAATAGAGATTGGAGTTTTAGAGAACCATTTGGAATCGTTTAAATTGAATAATGGCAGTAAGTACTCACCGCCGCCTCCTATTCCGCCGCCTCCGATTCCGCCTCCTCCAATTCCGCCCCCTATTCCACCTCCAAAGCCTCCACCGCCACCGGATGGAGCTCCATAAGAACTAGATGGGGGACTGTAACTGTAACCAGCTTCTGGCCTAGCACTGGCGAGTGCCACCAAGGTGGACAACAACTGAAAACAAAAAGCACCAGATGAAAATAATGCAGAATACAAACAGGGTTTAAAAATAAAACTATTTTAAATTAATATCGTGTTCAAAACTCAATCTTCTGCTGCAAAATTGCAGAAAAAAAAGCCTATAATATTGGTGAAGTTTAAAAAATAAAGACAAAAACCACAGGAAAAATTACTATTCCTAGATGGTAAGAATGTTATTTATTACATTATTATTAGTAAGATTTGCATATCAGTACTGTGGAATGCATATTTAGCAACATTAATTCATAAAAAAAAACGTTTTTTACATATATACTTTCATCTAACGGTATCAAAACACAAATACAACAAACTCTTTATTCTCTATGTCAAGGTAAAAATAAATTTCTCTTGCTTACAAGTTTTACATAACAATGAGGTGTTCGAGTGTAGGCAAAATGTAGATGAATGGGTGCCGGTTGCGAAATTAACTTCTTCTTTTTTATCATCATTGGTATATCCCACAGTTTCACAATCGTTCACACGCTATAAGATTGTTAGATACTCTTTTTATTGCTACAGATTAACGAAATCGAGTTATCAATGAACGAGGAAGTAATTTTGATAATTTTTAATAAAAAAATTGTTACTTAGAACTAATTATTTGATTGTTTTGTGAAAATGAGTATTTCAAATATTTTAGAAGGTAACTCATTAAATATTTATTTCTATGGATCCTTATGAAAAGTTGATTTATTTCCACTAGTGATAGAAAATCCTGAATATATTTTTACATAACATCTGCCTTACTCAAATCGAAATGCGTTTACTTCACTTTTATTAAATTAAACACAATCAAATTTAAAAAAACTCTGGGTAGATTTGATAATAGTCTGATTGCCTAGATTGTCTAGTTGTTTGTTTGAAATGTTCATTTAACAACATATTGAGTGCATTAACTTATGCAATTATCGATAGTCCTGATACCAAGAGTTGTATTTAACAGATTATATTCCAAATTAATAAAATATGTAATTAGTAAATCTAGGCAAGTTTCTTTTTCGTGGTATCGTCTATGAATACTTAATTCAGATATATATCGAATTTTTTAAATTGAGCACAAATAGATTTTTGTGACCTCACTGTATTAGATGGATTACTGTTTTCAATATTTGCTTCAATACTTTTTAATCAAAATTCACCGAAAAATGACAGTTGTTAAATTTGACAGTTCAATAATTTACAGTTACAGTACAAAAGCAATGACAACATGACAAGTTTGCCTACTAGATATTTTTAGTATTAAGTAAAATGGATGGTGTTACATAGTAAAAAACTAAGCTATAAATAAATTGATTGGAGAAAATTTAGGTTAGAAAATAAGAATGAGGGTTATTCAAAAATCGGATAGTTCTTGGGGACTCTGGAACCTGTTGTATCCCCGTGGTATTGAGACAGGCGTTGTCTATCAAATTCTATCGGTGTTTCGTTGTGCACTTTCTATTAAAATAATGTCTAGTGTAAAAATAGGCCTGATGACTTTATAATGAAGAATTTTAAAAGAAACATTACTGATTTAAAAATGCATATTTTGCATATTTTAAAGTCAGACTTGGAGATCAAGATAAACCTTGGGCGCCACATGTTATCTGCAAGATTTGCGAAGAAGCCTTGAGGCATTGGTTTAAAGGAACAAGAAAAGCCCTACCGTTTGGAATACCAATGGTTTAGAGAGAACCTAAAAATCACATTGACGACTGCTATTTTTGTCTTTGTGATATTAAAGGTCATAACACAAAATCTCTAAAGTATATTAACTATCCTAATCTTTCGTCTGCAATAAGACCAGTTCCACATGAAGCTGATATACCTGTACCTGTTCCACCTAAATTATTACAGTCTGTCGAATCAGAATCTTCAACAGATTCAGAAATTGACATTTTTGAGCCATCTACCTCAGGAACTCGTGAACCGCAGCTATTTTCTCAAGTAGAACTGAATGACTTAGTCAGGGATTTGGGACTTCTAAAAGACCTCTCTGAGGTTTTAGGATCAAGGCTTAAAGAAAAAAATTACTTGCTCCAGGTACTACATTTTATTCGTATAGAAATCGTGAGGCTGAATTTGTCAATTACTTTGCCGCAGCTGGTTCACTTGTATATTGTCAAAATGTATCTGACTTGGTTATTCATCTAGGTGCTCCTGAATACAATTCTGCCGAGTGGAGACTTTTTAGCCTGGCTCCATTCAAACGAATTTTAAAACATGTATTTATGAATGAAAAACATTAAGGAGATATTAACATTGAAAAATATAGGTTGGGTAATAATATTTAAAGAAAGGATCTAAATGATACGAGCAAAAAATCTAAGAGTGTATCCTGATAGAAAATGTTAATATTTATATGTAAAGCAGTATATGGAAAATGTTTGATGATTAAAATTACATTATTATTTGGAGTATTTGGAGGTATATCGACAATAAGACCTGTTAAATTTGCTTGTTAATCATGTAGAAGATAGAGGCTTAGTTTTGTGATGAATGTGCTTTAGAAAAAAGCCAATAACAGCGAGTTTGTACCAAATTTTTTAAAATAAATAGTTTTGTGCTACTATGGAACGACATTCTAGTACAGCTAGAAGTTTATTTAAAAAAAAACTATTGTTTATGTAAAATAGTTTAAAAAATAAAATTTTTAAAACGTCCTTCAATTCAAACAAAATATTTGGGTTTGGACAATTATTGCTAAGTCTTTAGACCTTTTTAGTTAAACTTCAAAATTGACTACTCAAAATGAAATTAGAAAAATTAATTTAATAAGAAAAATTACCAAAACTAAAATAATATAATACCCAATGTTTCAGTTTACTGGAAAATAAATCAAAAATATTTTACAAGTGTAAAGTAACTGTAATTTCCTTATCAATTAATTTTTCTTTGCAACCTTTTACTTCCTTGAGTCTATTTACAATCCTGCTGCTTTTATTTTCTTTTCTAGAAACATATCTTCATCACATAATTTCTTTCATTTTTCAGCTATAGGCGCAACTCCTAAACTACCCCTATTTGGTCATCCAGATTTATCCACCACAGCATTCTGATCTCGGTAATGTACAATCTGTACTGGTAGGTATGGAACTCTAGAAGAAGCTCCAGAAAAACCTGACATATTGGTTTAGAAAAGATCATTGAAGAAATTTCTATGAAGAAGATATGTATGTTAATTATTTATTAAAAATAACATTTGTATTATTTCTAGGATATTATTCAAATTAATGTAGTTCCAAAAGTAAAATTTAGAATGAGATGTCTTTAACCCAGTTAAGAATAAATTTATTATTCAAAAAAATGTATATTTCACCACGATTTTCCACGAAAATGAAAAGAGAAAGTTCACAAAATTTCTCATACCAATCAAACATAAACATTCAACAAAACACCCATTTTTTTATTAATTGGATTATGCATAATAGAATATTTGCGAGAAATTAAAATTTTATTATTCTACTATACGTTCGGATGACTTTCTTTTAAGTTATTTTTTAAGATGAAGATGACTAAAATTTTGTGGGTCAACAACGTTATTTTATGTGATGAGGTCGGTCAATTGAAATGTAATTTAAATGGCAATTGACACTTTCACTTTTATTTTATTTAATTTAATGGCAATACTGACATCCTTGTATGTGTAAATTGTGTTGCGATGTCTTGCAATTTAGCCATTATCTAGCATGTTAGATAAGGAATAAGTGTTTATTTGAAAATTCGAGAGACGCTAAAATGGTAGTTCCCACCTTATCGAGACTGACTCGTAGCGTAACAAAAACGAGAAATGATTTAACTTGGAACGAAAGACCGAAAGCCGATAGTAGTATTAGGACGTTGAATTTTTTGGTTTGTAAAGCATTGGCATTACTTAGATTAAACCATGTGATGATTTTCACAAGCCTTGATGTTTAAAACCATTCTATATGCTTTGTATAAGAATATTATATTATCTGTCTTGTTGTACCTTTATTTACGGAAAACCTGAATTGAGATACACTGCAAATTTTTTGCAATAAATATCAAAAGTATACATTTTTAAATAATTTAATATTTAAGAGCCATTCACACAGCACAGTTGACATCTTGATACTTGACAGGCACAGCCAAGCATTATTCTGATTTTTGCCAAATAAAATGATCGGTTGATTATTCTATGAGATTGCCACAGAGAGCCAACAAATTTGATCAAGGTATTTTTGTGACTAGGGGCGAAATAGTACTACGCTTAAGTTAGCACCACCATAAAAAAGTTATTTTTAAGAAACTGCTTATATATTTTTCATAAAGGGCTCCAAAATGGCTATGGTAGCAAGTATGATGGTCGCAACCCGTCTTAGAAATTTCACCTTTACTATCAACAGCTGTTGTTTGACAGGTCGTTACAGAATGTTAGAAATAATTGGAATTCCTAAAATTGTCACGTAAGAAATGCACAGGCAGATTTTAAGAAAATTGATATTAAAGTAGTTAGGATGAACAGAAACTTCTGAAAATCAATAGGGTTCTAAGTAAGAAGTAATTATTTTTCGTTCTAGAGCTATCGTGCCGGCATACATACACACAGACGACCATTTTTGGACTCAGAATGATCGGAAACATGAAAAAAAGTTTTAAAAAATGGGGGATAAGAAAATTTTTTGGTCTGCACGAATGCAATATTGAGGCCTCATAGGAAGGGCCCTCTGTAATATGAAAATGTCATTTTCTCTTGAAGATGCGGATATTGTTAGCAAAACGTATATCTCGTGTGGTAAAATATATACTAGAGAATGGATTTTGGGAACTATTGGCTGATCCTAAGAAACTTCCAAAAAATATGTAAAAAAACTACGGTATATTGATTCTAGCTATTGGAAATTGATAAAATTATTGCATTAACTAATATTATAGTAATAGAGAATCATAGGTAATTAATATAGCTCAATTTATTATGGAAAGTGTAAATCAAGAAAAAAATTGGTTGATCTAAGACATTCAATATTCTATCAAAGAAATATTGAAAAATCATTGTCTTCTGCTTCAAATCATACGAATACTCTGTTAAAATAAACAATTTTATGCTATTAAATATAGTTTTTTACTAGCTATATTCTGTATCAAAAAAATTGTATACTAAATTTTCTTATATATTATAAAATATTTTTTTTTTAGTTTTAAACCCCTAAACACTATTTCTATAACTAAAAATTTTGTTTAATTAGGAATTAATACGTTTTGTATATTTGGTAAATTATCACCTATAAAGTTTAAAAATGCAAAATTATTTTAATTAATAACAAATTATGAGTGTAAGATTCAAAAATTAAGAATTTTATGGTTTTTTCATGGGTTTATCATCAGATATTGACTAAATTTATATGGGACAACGTTGCAAAAAATTATCGCTAAACAAACTTAAAAAAATCCCTTTTTTTGAAGTCTTAAAAAGAATAATTTTATTTCAAAACCAAATTTTTATCGTTGTAAAAATGGTTATAATTATGGATTGGATTTTTCGAATGTAAAAATGTAAAATACTATAAGATATTACATCTTAAAAGTCTTTAAATAAAACAGAAGATGATATTTGGACTTATCTGGTTATTACTGAACTAAGTGAGGAATGTTCAAAAGAATTGAAAAATCTGAATCGAAATATTAGTTTGTGCAACAAGAGTGGATATAATGTCCATATTGCACGAAGACGAAATTTACGTCTGAGTGCGATCTGGACAATCCACCAGAGTTGTACAGTATTTTTTCTACGACCCACTAACGAAAATTTACAAATAAAAAAAATATTTCAGGTTATTAAGACAAAATAACTAATTTTAAAATCATTTATGACTTTTAATAATTTTAAAATAACATAAACGAAAAAAAAAAACAAGAAAAGAGAACGCTAACCACAAGACCACCTACTCTTTTATTTTTGTTGCTTTAATACTCGTAATTATTTATAATTATAGACGAAATAAAAAAATAAATGCTATTATTTATTGATTCTACACAAGAATAATCCATTTTAATGTATGTTTAATCTTAATAACTAAAAAATATACTGACAATTAGTTTAACAGAATTGTCACTTATTTAAAATTTTAAAAATAATAACAATCGGTTGATGAAAATATGAACGGTGATTGGTGTATTTCATTTTTTGCAGTATTCTCACTACCTAGAATGGATATGAAATATATTCGTTCAGTTGAAAGCAATAGCATACTTTTTCGTTTTATAATTTGTGCGTAGATAAGGTAATATCCATGTGAGTGTAGAAAAAATAAATTATACGACTTTAGAGAAATAACTGTATACTTCATAAAAATCAAAATTACCTACGCTTTATATTAAAAAAATGAGTTTTTTTATCTGAAAATTTACTTTTTGTCCAAGAATTGGAGTTGTACAATATAAAAAATATTTTTTTTCAATACCCAAATTAGTAACTAACCTGGAAAACTATTATCAGTATTATTTTATAGTTATTAAGAAAATATAATTAAAAATCATGATTCCTATACTTTCCTTATATCTGTATACAGATAGGGAAGTAAAAATGAGTGATTCATGTGAAGAATTGATAAATAATAGCAATACACTAAAATATATACGAGTACATTTGAGTAACTTGTAATAAAACTACCCAAAATCCATTCAATTATCAAGCAATGAAAAAATTATAAGATGTTTGCTAGTTTGAGAGATGAATTCATTGGAGACGTTCTGGGTTCAAATCACAGGAAAGGCCCAAATTTTACAAATTTGTACAAATCTTAAATTCAAATCTTTTTTAATCATTTTTAAAATTGCTATTTAATCTTAATAAATTTTGAATTCATTTTTAAAATATTAAAATTTTAATCAGTATGTCGTAAAAAATATATACTGTACAACCCGAATATCTGAACTTTGTCTTCATGCGATATGGCCATGATATCTACTTATATTGCACAAATTACTATATCTGTGTAACCACATAAAAAGTATCAAAAAAAAACATCAGACATTGATCAAATTTATATGGAAAAGAAATTCAAAATATTTTTTCTATTTTTTTAAATTAATCAAACGTTACCAATTTTCACTTTATTCGAAATATAATAATAATTTCACGTCGCTTAAAAGTCCAATACATCACAACAATCACTGTCACTTTTTTTATAAATTACTCAAAAAAATATACCAAAAAAAATGTACGTACCACAAACGGTTTCATGATGCAAAATCACTTAACTATAACGATCATATGATGTTGATGGTACATCCCATTTGATTTAAATACTATCGTCTCCCACTAAAGCACCCGTGAAGAAGATTCACACTGGCAGATCTTTGGCTTTTACATTCACTCCGCACAATAACAAAAAATACTTTTACTAATTTACAATAAGGACTAATTCGGTTCAAAGCGGATCATCATTTTTACCCTTTTAGCGACTATTAACTTTATTTTCTTTGTTGCAGTTATTGGTCATTGTTCGGTTTTATTATCCGGTTGGTTTACGTAAAAGTTTTATAATGTATTGATGTATATTTTTTGAGTTTTGTGGAATATAAAAATTTGTCTGGTTAGAGAATTGAGTAAGTTGTTTAGATAACATAGTATTTTCTTCTGGGTTATTTTTGGAGATACATATTCTTCAATTTATTACGAGGTTTCTTTATTTTTCGGTTCGATTTATTTTCTTATTTTCCCAATTCTCTTTTAAATTGTATTTCTCCAATTATTTTATATCCTTGCTCATTACGTTTATCATATTTTTCAAGACTGTCTGTTTTTTTATTCTTATGTATTATTTTGATTTTTAATCATTTGTTTCAAAATATCTTTATTGGTTTGTTAATGTATATTTTGGTTATTTTGTTGGCAGGCAGTAGTTGTGGCTATCAAATGTTTCTTTCATTTCTTCGCTTTTTATTTATTTTTAGTTTTGATTTTTCTTCCAACACTTTTTTTCTTCTTATTTTACTCTTATAGTTTCTTTAAGATTCATTAATATATTTTACTATTTCAAAATCTATATCATGTATAGGCAATCTTTATTTTTTCTTGCAAATATTGATAATTCTTCGATTATTATCTGGTTGGTTTATGTAAAAGTTTTAAAATGTATTGATTTATATTTTTTGAGTTTTGTGGAATATAAAAATTTGTCTGGTTAAAGAATTGAGTATGTGGTTTAGATAACACAATATTTTCTTTTGGGATATTTTTGAAGATACATATTCTTCAATTTATTACTAGGTTTTATTATTTTTCGGTTCGATTTATCTTCCCATTTTGCCAATTTTGTTTTAAATTGTATTTCGCCATTTATTATATATCCTTTCTCATTACGTTTGTCATATTTTTTTCTCCACCTTTTTTTTAATAATGTGTTTCAAAATATTTTTAATAGTTTTTGGGTTTATACTAAAAAAATTAATCTAGTGTTTTTGCTAACGTAATATTTTCCATTTGGTTATATTTTTGGCAGGCAGTATCTGTGGCTATCAAATATTTTTTAATTTCTTCACTTTTTATTTGTTTTTAGTTCTGACTTTTCTTTCATCATAATTTTTCTTTATAATCTACGCTTTCAGTTTTAATAGGATTCTTTAATATATTTTACTGTTTCAAAATCAATATCATGTATAGGAAATCTTTATTTTTCCGTGTATTGAATTATATTTTTTGAGTTTTGTGGAATATAAAAATTTGTCTTGTTAAAGAATTAAGTAAGTGATTTGTAGAACATAAAATTTTTCTGGTTAAAGAATTGAGTAAGTTGTTTAAATAACACAGTATTTTCTTTTGGGTTATTTTTGGAGATACACATTCTTCAGTTTATCTTTCCATTTTATCAATTTTTGTTTTAAATTCTATTTCACTTTTTATTTGTTTTTAGTTTTGACTTTTCTTTTATCATGATTTTTCTTCATATTTTACGCTTTCAGTTTTTTTAGGATTCTTTAATATATTTTACAATTTCAAAATCTCTATCATGTATAGGCAATCTTTATTTTTTCTTGCAATTATTGATAACTATTCGATTATTATTTGGTTGGTTTACGTAAAAGTTTTACAATGAATTGATTTATATTTTTTGAGTTTTGTGGAATATAAAAATTTGTCTGGTTAAAGAATTGAGTAAGTTGTTTAGATAACACAGTATTTTCTTTTGGGTTATTTTTGGAGATACACATTCTTCAGTTTATCTTTCCATTTTATCAATTTTGTTTTAAATTCCATTTCACTTTTTATTTGTTTTTAGTTTTGACTTTTCTTTTATCATAATTTTTCTTCATATTTTACGCTTTCAGTTTTTTTAGGATTCTTTAATATATTTTAATATTTCAAAATCTATATCATGTATAGGCAATCTTTATTTTTTCTTGCAATTATTGGTAATTATTCGGTTATTATTTGGTTGGTTTACGTAAAAGTTTTAAAATGTATTGATTTATATTTTTTGAGTTTTGTGGAATATAAAAATTTGTCTGGTTAAAGAATTGAGTATGTGGTTTAGATAACACAATATTTTCTTTTGGGATATTTTTGAAGATACATATTCTTCAATTTATTACTAGGTTTTATTATTTTTCGGTTCGATTTATCTTCCCATTTTGCCAATTTTGTTTTAAATTGTATTTCGCCATTTATTATATATCCTTTCTCATTACGTTTGTCATATTTTTTTCTCCACCTTTTTTTTAATAATGTGTTTCAAAATATTTTTAATAGTTTTTGGGTTTATACTAAAAAAATTAATCTAGTGTTTTTGCTAACGTAATATTTTCCATTTGGTTATATTTTTGGCAGGCAGTATCTGTGGCTATCAAATATTTTTTAATTTCTTCACTTTTTATTTGTTTTTAGTTCTGACTTTTCTTTCATCATAATTTTTCTTTATAATCTACGCTTTCAGTTTTAATAGGATTCTTTAATATATTTTACTGTTTCAAAATCAATATCATGTATAGGAAATCTTTATTTTTCCGTGTATTGAATTATATTTTTTGAGTTTTGTGGAATATAAAAATTTGTCTTGTTAAAGAATTAAGTAAGTGATTTGGCTAACACAGTATTTTCTTTTGTGTTATTTTTGGAGATATATATTCTTCAATTTATTACTAGGTTTCTTTATTTTTCGGTTCGATTTACCTTCCTATTTTCCTAATTTTGTTTTAAATTGTATTTGTCCATTTATTTTATATCCTTGCTTATCACGTTTGTCATATTTTTCTAGGCTTTCTGTTTTTTTTTATATGTATTATTGTGATTTTTATTAATTTGTTTCAACATATATTTATTGGTTTGTAATGTATATATTTAATATTTTTTGAGTTTAAACTAAAAAAATTAATCTAGTTAGTGTTTTTGCTAACATAATATTTTTCATTTGGTAGTTTTTTTGGCTATCAAATGTTTCTTTAGTTTCTTCACTTTTTGTTTTTAGTTTAGATTTTTCTTTCATCATAATTTTTAATATTTTACGCTTTTATTTTTAGGATTCTTTAATATATTTTACTATTTCAAAATCTATATCATGTAGAGGGAATCTTTATTTTTCCTTGCAATAATTGGTAATTATTGGTAATATTTGGTTGATTTACGTAAAAGTTTTACAATGTATTGATTTATATTTTTTAAGTTTTATGGAATATAAAAATTTGTCTGATTAAAGAATTGAGTAAGTTGTTTAGCCAACACAGTATTTTCTTTTGGGTTATTTTTGGAGATTCACATTCTTTAATTTATCTTTCTATTTTCCCAAGTTTGTTTTAAATTATATTTCTGCATTTATTTTATATCCTTGCTTTTTTCTTTGTCATATTTTTTTCTCCACCTTCTATGCTTTCTTTTTTTTTATTATGTATTATTGTGATTTTTAATAATATGTTTATTGGTTTGTGTGTGGCTAAGTTTTTGGCATCAGGAAGCATGGTCCTCAGCCACAAAAATTATGTAAGGAACAAATATTTTTTATATTTGGATATTGGTCTTCTTTAATAATTGTACTAATCCATCAAAAATATTTTTATTATTTGAAGCTAATAGATGAGTTAAATTTTTAGGTAAGAAAATCTTATTTTTAGTAATTATTTCTATAAATTTATTTATTTATTTCATTGGTATGATTTTTATAAGAAAATATTAAGTGGTTGAGATCAGCTAGAGTGGAGTTATCACAAGAACATTTGGAAGTCTGATTTATTCCAATTTTGGCTAAATGAGTCGGAAATTGAGTTATGGTTACGGTATAGAATCTGTTAACTGTATATTCTGGGATATGTGGTATTTTGTTTGGAAGATATGTTTATTGGTTTGTTAATGTATATATTTTGTGGGTTTATTCTAAAAAAAAAAAATTCTAGTTAGTGTTTTTACATAATATCATATTATAGATTTATATATTTTGAATTTTGTGGAATATAAAAAGTCGCATGGTTAGAAAGTTGAATAAGTGTTTTAGCCAACATAGTATTTTCTTTTTAATTATTTTTGGAGCAGCGCTGTCTGGTACACATTCTTATATTCCTTCCTAGGTTTCTTTATTATTTGGGCCTTGCATTTTTTAATTTTTTTTATATATTGTACTGCTACACCCCTTGTTCATTACTTTTGACATATTTTTGTCTCCATCTTTTACTCTTTAATTTTTTAGTGTTAAGTGATGTAATTGTTTTGACTTTCTCAATGTTTTAATATACACGTCCTCTTCGAGGGATATTTATTAGTTTTTGGGTTTTTTAGACTGGCTAATAAAAAAATTTTTATTTCTTTCCCAGTTTTTTTATTGAAAAGTATCCTAGATTTATTTTATCTGTCTATCCGATGTCACGTTTTTTGTTCTCTATAAGGAGACAAAGCCTACTGATTTTGAAAAAATTTGAATAAAAATGGAGGGTTAATGGAGGTTTAAATATTTAAAAAAAAACAACTCGAAAAAATCATAAATTAAAAATGAAAAGCGATATCGACATGAAATTTTTATTGAAAATGGAGCTTTATAAGAAGATAAAGCCTATTTATTTTAAAAAAAGTTAAATAAAAATGGGGGTTAAGGGGCATTAACTAAATTTCTGTGAACATGCACAATCCTAAAACAAGGAAATGCAAAGTATTGCTATTGTATATCAAAAAATAAATAATTCAGTCATGCTTTATATTGAGCCGATCCTCAGACATTGTTGAACGTAACCACGTTTTGAACTTTCTTCAAAGTGCTGAAG